ACCCGGAAAAAATAATGCCACCCCATTGACATTATTTATACGAAAATATTTAATTTAGGTGAGCTTAATCAAAATGTACATCTTAATAGTTTTGACAACTTTCCAAGTACCAGCCTTACTTAGAATATTTTTTTTTGCTCCCTTCTTTCCTTAACAAGCCGACTTTTGCCCTTTTGGTGATAGCGTGCAAAAACGACGAACTAGCAAGCATTGAGCAAGAGCGTACCTGGTATCTTTTCATTGCCTGTATGCTGGTTGCGGTGCTCACATTTAAAATGGAGGTGGAAATTCTTGGGGCCCATGTATTTGGATATAGGTACAGGTTAAAATACCTGAAGTGAATGAAATTTCTGGAGCCGTTTATGGCGGCGCCCCTCATAATCATGTCATGGTTTGCGGAAGCAAATGCACTAAAGTTATTATGTGTAACGTAAAAGATTTTTTTTAGGCGATACATCTTCGAACATCTTATTCACCCCCTAACGATCTCATGCAGTTGCTGGACCAAGTAAAGAGCAAGTAAAAACCAAGTAAAGTGCATCCCCACATATCATCATCAAGTAAAGTGCGAGAAAATGTGACTCAAACTCCACAGAGGGTGGTGTTTTCATTTACAGTGCGTCTTTTAATTTCCAGTGCAAGCAAACATTCCGGTGCGAATAAGCTATTTGTCATGGGCAGCTACGGCACCTTCTCTTCTAAGGTAGAGTGACACTAATTGAAACTACTCCTAGCCAACGCCCTGATTCGCCATTGGCCGCACCGGTACCACACATTAAAAGAAAAATAGCGAGACTTGGGTGCACGGTAAAGAGTCCCAGGTGGTCGAAATTTCCGAAGTCCTCCACTAATTATCCCATAATTATATGGTGGTTTTGGGACGTTAAACCATATATATCATAATCATGGAGAGACAGCGCCGCGTCACTTAGCGCTACAGAACACAAGGGGCAGCAAGTACGAATACAAATTTGCTGACGTGGGGTGCCACAAACTACCAAGAAATAAATCTATTGCCGCTGGTGCCCGTTTCAAGACTTTTCCTCTCATTTCCGCACTAGAACTACATGTTATGCAACTATCAGCAATAAAATTTGTTCGTCTGTTAAACAGAATCGACCGATGAGGTAGCTGACTTCATCTTACGCGTCGTTTTAATGCCTTACGCGCCCCAGCTTCTCATCGGCCACGGCCATTCATTTCTACCCGCGCATGCATTTAGCTACACTTGGAGGAGGAGGAGAGATTGAGGAAAGTATTGACGTAACTTTTGCAGTCCTAGTTGAAGGCATGGCTCAGGGCCAGTTACTCTTCCAGGCAGCAAAAACTAACCACTTCTTACAGGCCTCAGACTGGTGACATCAGAGAAAGATTGAATCCCTTTTTGCGGGATTACAACAAAGTGACTGCCTTAAAAAATCTCCACAGTTAAAATGCTACAAAAACGTAATTTCTTTGCGCAAGCTAATTTGTTCCTTCTATAAAATTAAATGCTTCAGTAAATGCCTACTGTATTGCACATGCGAAGAAGCTTTTACTCGGGGCTGCGTTTATACCACGGCGACTGCCCGCTCCCCCGCTGCGCATGCGCCAACTGTCTCCCTCTCCTCGCGTGACCACGAAAAGCTGGGAGGAGTTGGGGTGCAGGATGTCGCAGAGTTCTGCCTCAAATTCGTTTCTCCTGTCTCACTTATATCTCCGCCATAGCTCGGTACCCGTATGAAATTCTGCGCTCACTCGCTCCGTTGCACTTTCTTATATAAGAGCTGGGCGTTCACTTTGAGGCAAACTAGAGGAAGGGTAACTAGAGGAAGGGTTCACTTTGAGACAAACTAGAGGAAGGGTAACATAAGCGGTACACAACATATACATAACTGCAAACACAAATGAAACATACATGGAAACGAAGAAATGGAAACAACGAATGCAAACACAAGTGTACAACAGCGCTGCTTCACATCCCCACAAGGTTGCCTTTCGTGGTAGATGGAGTGAAATTTAGTAGGTATGAGCGACAATCACCTGCACTACTTGACCAAGTATTCGTGACTGGACCACGGCCACCCTCCAATCCACTCAGACCGCCGCTACCTGATAAACCTGAAATAAAAAAAAAACAGCATTCAATCCTCAGGATGAAATGGATATTACAGATGTGAGGAGCTTTCTGCTATAGGAATAGGTTGACCAAAAGTGAATCATGTCCTCACTGGGAGTATAGTTGAATGTTTATTGTACTTTAATAAATCAGTGCTTGCGCAATGTGTATTCTTATTGAGAACTATAGAACTGCTTTAATCTGAATGCCATCTCGTTGATGCCTAGTGTCGCATTTTCACCTCATTGACTAACATTCAATATCACTCAACCCTTGTGATAGTTGTAGTGAACGCAAATGTGCTAGGAGGCCACGCAAAAATGGCATAAAAAGCACTTACCACTGTTACTCAATATACCCTGATTTGAAACATCGTGTCTTAAGGAGAGTAGTGCCGTGATGTGTGCACTCTAGTAATAGTGTAACCTGCATTGATGTTCACGTATGTACCACACAGCGATTCAGGAACGGGACAGGAAGAGTTCCTATAGCTTGAACCATGAACGTGGAGAGGAGTTTCGATTTCTGCTGGCATGTGTCTCTCTGCACCAATCTCTGAAACTACCGAAGGGCTCTCTGCCGGCGATCGTTCATGTCATGACACAGTACTTTACTTCACTCATCCCAGATGGCAACACCCTTCCCCCCCCCACCCCCTCTCAAGGGGGAAAATCGGCGATGAGATGTAGTCAATAGTAGAGATGGCAAAATAAATGAACTACAGTATAAGTGATCGTACAATCAGCGCTTTGGTAGTGATGACAGGATCTCGTATGTAATGAAAACAATGTTGCAAGTGCAGTAGAAACTATATCGAACAAAACCGGATTTTACGAAGTTCCTCATTCCATGAATGAATCTCGATTGATCAGAAAATACGCATAGCTCTCAATGCTATCATCAATCCAAATGAACTATCTTATCGCCAAAACCTGATTTAATAGAATACTCTCCGGCAATGAGCAAAAAAGCTCTGATTTCCTTCCATTTTTGTGGATATGGATGTTTTTTTTTTCGCGCGTGCTTTCCAACTATTCTGCATTAAAGCGCTTATGCGCAACTCCGACGGGCTTAGCATAAGCCTTTCGAAGGCTCCAAGCTGCGCTCCACGCCCACGAATGGAACAAGGGAATATGCAGCTGGTAGTGCTTTTGCTTGCCGGGTGGTGCTACGGGCAACGGCGTTTAGCTTTATGATGTCATGGCATTACCGGCCTTCTAAATTTCTGACTCGGCCTACTGGTACAAACACTTCATTGGTTCCTTGTGTCTCCGCATTGACTTCTACCTCGAGTGCTTCTCGTACTATCTTTCTGCATTGCATTGTCGAGATATGGTGCCCCCTAGGTCCCTGCTACGTGGGACCCTTCATGTCAATGCCACTATCAACCTAACCTCGCAGGCTTTTCACATGCACGGAAGTATATTGTTGGCAAGAAGAATGATCGGGTAGTTCGTGCACTACGCAACGATTTCAGATTTCGAAGAGCCGAAAACTTCCTTTTTAAACTGACTTACCCGATTTCACGAAATTATTCGAGGGTGCTCACGACTGTGTTTGATCGAGTTTCAACTGTAACAGGTTGGCTGAATAGTGTTCCTCCAAGAACAGTCTTGTTTTCCGGGTGCCATTTCTATAGCGTATGCACCGAAAATGCGTCTTCTGTGCGCGCCCCGAAAATTGTCCTTTTCCGTGAGACATCACGAGGTTAATGGGGTCGACCACTTTGAGGTATCCGCTGAACAACTAGCGTCAAGCGACACCAACACTGTGTGACTAAAATTGTCGCACAGTGTTTGCAGGTGGCAAGCGTAATTTATTTACACTAATATTACAATTAGTACAATATAGTTAACACAGTGGAGATACCGTCCCCTATACATTTTTTGGCATGGTTGTCTGTTCGTCTTAAATAGGATCGTGTCTGAGGAATCAAACAAACGAACAAACAAACAAACAAACAACGAAACAAACAAGCGCTTCGCTTCCACTTTCCTGGTTCACTCAAAAACTCATAAAATTCAGGTAACTCTCCATGTGAAACAATATTATAATAAGAAACTTATTTACTTTCCCATTGCTTTTCTTTCTGCCACGATGTTAATTTATCACAAATGATCCTACGTTATAAATATTGAGCGCACCTTGAGCTACATTTTTCACAATTTCGTACGAACTATTTGGCGTGAAATATGTGTGTATTCGTAAAAGTTGAAAACAAAACACATGTTCGGATTTCATTTGTTTCTGCTGGCGCAAGAGTAATTATTACATGAACAAACAAATTATAACGACATTCACCGAGTAGCATTTTTCTGTGTTTTCTTCGTCATCGGGAAAACCATGAACGTATTTGTAATTTGCCACACGTTCAACCGTGGGCAGCGATGGATCGATAGATGAATTGATGCAATGTTTTACCAAAAGTCTTGATGTGGGCAACTCAGCGTGAATCGGAGTGGTCTAACATTGGAACAATCGATCCTTGTTTGCCACTCACAACTAGCCTATAAGCCAGGCTTATGATAGTTTTCCCGTCAAGTCAGGGCATGGCATTTTATAGTCAGCTATGTTAAGAATAGTGCAGTCCTGTCCTTAAAAGGATCGAATCAAAACTGGCTGTACTTCTTTGTACGTGCAGATGCTCTACTTCTCTCCCCTTTCTTTTTTCAATCCTTATTCTCTGATCACCAGTTCAGGGTAGAAAACCGGACGCTCGTTTGGTTAACCTCCCTGCCTTTCCTCTTCTTGCTTTCTCTCTATGTTCATAATGGTTGAAATGACGGAATTTTACAGAACGTGTAACATTACTTACAATCACTTTAACTACTCCCCGAAGTGGCTGAAATACCTTCGCAGTTTCCAACATAGCCAACACGAAAACAATGGCCTGATTCATTACCTGAGTGCCCTCCAAAGACACCACCAAGTCCACTGCCAAGTCGACCGCCAAGTGCGCCACCATGTGCGCCACCAAGTCCGGTGCCAAGTCCGGTGCCAAGTCCGGTGCCAAGTCCGGTGCCAAGTCCGGTGCCTAGTGCACTGCCAGAGCCACCACTATGACCACTGCGAGAGCCAGCAGCACCCAAAGCAGCACCCAAGCCAATGCCAAGGCCAGCGCCCGCCATGCCAGCGCCAATGAGACCGGCGGCAGAACCTGTGGCATGAAGTGGTCTTCGCAGTTTCGCCAATGATCGTGGCCATCTCGACAACTACACAAGTTAAACCTACTGCGCTTGATAACGTTTATATTAGAAAGAATGTATAGGACGCACTTTGGTTGTTGCCGACGTATTTCCTACCTTTCTGGCTGATAAACCTGCCTTCATTCATGTAATTGCTCTTTCTTGCTTTCTGTACAATTCTTTCCTCTTTGATTCTACGCTATGCTTTACTACTTTCTGTTTTTCATTTTCCTCCTCCTCACTCTCAGTTTCATTTATTGCCACTTTTGTATTTTATACTATACGAGGTAATGATATGCTCGGATATATCACCTAAGAGCCATGTGAGTATGATACTCGCCTTTGGATTGGGTGCCATCATCATCATCATCAGCTCGACAACGCCCATTGCAGGACAAAGGTCTTTCCCATGCTCCGCCAGTAAACTCAATCCTGCGTTTGCGGCTGCCAGTTTATACCCGCAAACTTACTAATTCCTTCTGTCCGCCTAACTTTCTGTCTCTCTTTAAACCGCTTGCTCTCTCTGGGAATCCAGTTAGTTACCCTTAATGACCAGCGGTTATCCTAGCTACGCGCTACGTGCCCAGTCCATGTCCATTTCTTCTTCTTGATTTCAAATATGATGTCTGGGGTGCGTGGGTTAAAATCCTGGCTCAGTAAGTATTTTTTGCTATTGTGGACCGAAGAAAGTTGTTTCACTCACTCAGTCACTCCGCAAAAAATTCTTTCTCGTTCGCTCTCCTGCTGTACTTTTTCGCTCCCCCATCATAGTTCTCCCACACCGAAAAATTAGGCGCACGTGTTCGAGGCGTGAAGCCGAAGGTGAAGCAAAGGACAAGCACAGCGCGTGCCCCGTTCATGACGATCACTGTCCTGCATTCGCGGATCTTTGTTTTTTTGCAAAAACAGCTGCGCGGTTAAATTATTCCAGTGGCTTTGCCAGAAAACACACTTACTGCCACCGCCACCCAATAAGCCTCCTCCGCCGCCTCCGCCGCTGACTCCGTAGCCGCCACCCAAGCCACCACCCAAGCCACGGGGAGAGCTTCCTCCTACAACACCGAAAAGAAAAACAAAATTTTGTTTTCAGGACCAACTCGCGAAACGTCGCTAAAAAACAGAGTAAACATTTAAGAGAGAAACGTATCGAGAATATCAAAGTGTTTTGTTCGCCTGCTGACGAAAATTGGAGCTTGGCGACCGGGGCATCAAACGTTCTAGATGTGCTGATGAGCTTGGGAGGGTGATTAACGACAATATATGAGTCAGCATTCAACTCAAAGTACTTTAATTAAAAGAAGAAACTGTAATGAATACTTCCCTCAGCAAATGAATTAGTAAAAAAATATAGTTTCATGTGGGGTTTTACGTGCCGAAACCACTATATGATTACAAAAGACGCCATAGAGGAGAGCACCGGAAATTTGGATCATCTGGTGTTCTTTAACGTGCACTGACATCACACAGCACTCTACTGTTTCACCTGCAGAGAAATGCAACCGCCGCCGGCGGGATCGTACCCACGACCTTCGTGTCGACAGCCGAGCACTCTATAGCCCCTGATCCAATGCGATGGGCCACAGAATAATTAAAACTCTCCGCAAATCTTGGATGTCTAAAATCCAGCCCCGCTTCGGTGGTCTAGTGGCTAAGGTACTCGGCTGCTGATCAGCAGGTCACGGGATCGAATCCAGGCTGCGGCGGCTGCATTTATAATGAAGGCATAAATTTTGCGGGCCCATGTGCTCATATTTGGGTGCACGTTAAAGAACTCCAGGTGGTCGAAATTTCCAGAGCCCTCCACTACGGCGTCTCTCATATTCATATGGTGGTTTTGGGACGTCGAACCCCACATATCAATCAATCGATGTCTAAAAGCCAGTACAGGTGATCTCTAATTTACCATCTTGAACAAAGCAAACGTATTAGGTGTAAAAGCGCACTGCCACACGAACAACTACTTCTCCGGCCCATTGGGGTGGAGGGTTAGATTCCCAAAAATGTCTCAATGACGCATGTGCGTATATACCGGCACATATACAAATGCACACACGAGCGTACATGAAAAGTGGTCCAACCCCTATTCACGCCCCTCTGCCGCCGAAAAATAATCTGCCTACAATAGTAAACTGCCCACTCGTGTTAGATCGTCACTTGGTCCCGGGAAATTTTATAATTTATTTTATTTGCATACTTGTAGATGTATCATTCACAGGCAAGACAGTGATTTTTCGCTTACAACGAACGACGCCAAGGCCGGTGGTGAAAGTGGCATGCATTTTTGCGAAACGAGCTTAATAACGCTCTCGCGTCATTAAGCGGTTGCGACTTTTACAATATAATGTTATCAGAGGTCTTACGTCGCGAAACTGGTTTTAGACTTTCTGCACCGCATTCAACCACTGTCTTTTGGTTAGTCAGATAAATGCGAAGGTGTATCTAAGTTCGCAGTCCTACTCATCACCATACTTCCAGGTCCAGTGCGCAACAGAATAGGACAGAAAATTCTGATCCCTCGCTTTATGGGATGTCACACGCTAGTACACCCTGACGTCTTTTGCGAGGTTTTAATACTCTTTCGTTGTGCGGCGTGCTCTTGTAGTGCTATATCAAAGTTTGTGCGCTAATTCAAGCACATTTCTACATGACAATTCGGTGGTTGTTGTGACAACACATTTTCTTGGGGTACTCCATTTTTCCTTTGTAATACACCCGTGACCGCATTAGCAATTCTGTTGCCGGGACAGAAACTGTCAGCTACACACCAGGAATCTGTTTTAACCTAAGAAAGTTCTTGATGCGAAATACCCGATGTAGTCATCCTCATTGAAATTTTGTCAGAATTTTTACCTGGGTGTGTTGCTTTTACATCGTACAGTGGCATCGTCAAGCTAATCTCAATGTGGCCGCTAATTTACTGCGTGCACCTAAGGGAGTCATTGTGCCCCTCCCGTGAATGAGTTGTCACTCTGCTTCTTCCTATATATTGGTCTCTGTCAGTTCTTTATACTTCTGAACGTATGTGTTTTTGGGCTTTTTGACAATAAAATGTGTGGCAGAATAATGGGTAGGTTTTGGATCTCGTACTGCGTACAAGCAATGGCCACTTTCTTACTCTGCTCATGGCTGTAATGAGGATCATTTCGCTCAACTGTGTGGAAAATCAGTGTTCTCTTGCCGTTCAATGATTGCTTGCATCCCATAAAAATTATCATTCAGGTTAGATCTCCTGAATATTCCACAGTTATAACTATTTACTTGTTGGGGGTCATTGACAGTGTTCTTTGCCATATTTTTTGACCTATCGAACACGTTGCGCTATCTGATTTTAATAAAGCAATTATTTTTTGCATCAGTAAAAGACCTTCTTACGCAATACTACGTTATCTCATTTTAATAAAGCACTTGTCTGCATCGGAAGTCCTACTTACACAATACCGGATGCTCAATTGCTTCTCATGCATTATGTAACTATCTACTTTCTGTATTTCAAAGAAAAGGTTGTAAATTGCTGCTTTTTAACACGTATAGTTCACACATATAGTTATTAGCTGATCTCTTTTCTACTTGTTATTTTATTTTATGTTATTTTATTCTACTGCCCTGTAATTGTACTCTGTGGAAATCTTCCTTTACAATTTGTTGAATTGTACTCTATACCCCCCTCACCCTATGCTTCTAGGGGCCTCTGAGGTATTATCAAATAAATAAATAAATAAATAAATAAATAAATAAATAAATAAATAAATAAACCGTGTGGTAGGCCAACAAAACTCTCAAGCACACGCAACTTCTACTAATTTTTTTCAGGACAGCTGGCTTTTATAATGTTTAAGAGGATGCAAACTCACCCGTCACAGCACTGGAGCAACCAGAACATCCCCCTGGCAGAAAGCATATACATTTGAGAATTAATGCAACGCATTGGGCGCACTACATCGTTTTGAAAACATAGCGTAATGAGGATCAGGAACTAACTTATCTATATTACACTCGCCCACATCAGTTGCGCAGCGGGCTATGCTGCTGAGGTATTTTAAATTCCTTGTACTTAGGTGTGGAACCATTGAAGATTGCCTCTATTGAGGAGGGTGCACTCCTCCGAGCGACCAGTCTTATCAAGCTCTGTTGATCGTTATAGAACAAATGAATCTTGCGATCATTTGTAAACATTTCGAGCAAATTTCAATGTGGCATCATGGTGCTCGTTGTGACTGCATATTTTGCTGTGGTACTATATAGCTCTTTGTAGTTAAACACTCACGATGCTATTCCCTTCTGTGGTGCTGACAGAAACAGTCGGTTGCATGCCCTGAATTTTGTGGCAACTACAGAGAACTCTTGGGGCATAACAGCTATTTCGATCTTTCTCATGCAAATATTTGTTGAAAACTTATATTGGGCGCGTTTTTGCTTTTAAATTGTGCAGTGGCCTTCAAGCTAATCTCGTTGCGATCGTTAATTTAGTGTCTGCACCACAGGGTGCTCTTGTGTCCATCACGAGAATAATTTGCAACCTGCTTTTTCTGAGATTGGTCTGTCATTTATATATGTTTTGTACTTATATGTTTTCAGATTTATTACAATAAAATGTGTAGAATGATGCTGCATAGGTTCGGTTCTTAAAGCCCGTGCTGCGTACAGGCTATGGTCACTTTCGTACTCTACTCATGGCTGGAACGAGGACGACATTGCTCAACTGTGTGTGTGTGTGTGTGTGTGTGTGTGTGTGTGTGTGTGCGTGTGCGTGTGTGTGTGTGTGTGTGTGTGTGTGTGTGTGTGTGTGTGTGTGTGTGTGTGTGTGTGTGAGGGGGAGATCAGCATTTTCTTGCCATTCAATGATCGCTTGAATTTCATCAAGATCCTCATTCAGATTGGACGTGCTGAATTTTCAACAGTAAAAAAAAGAGCAGTGCCTATACTCATTTACTTGTATGGAGTTATTGATGGTGTTGTTTGCAACGGTGTTTGGTGCGTTGACCACTTTGCAATGTCTCAATTATTAAAGCGATTTTTCTTTTTGCATCAGAAGTCCTACTTACACGATACAGGTTACTCAGCAGCTTCTCTTGTTTTGTGGAACAATCTACCGATAGGCCCTAGCCACCAAGCTTATCTTTGACAACGCTGACGTGCGTCTAAGGCAAGTTCTTTGTCACAAAGCAGCGTCATTTTAGATGCAAAAATTAAGAAACCAGACATATTTTATAGATTGCCCCGCCGCGGTGGTCTAGCGGCTAAGGTACTCGGCTGCTGACCCGCAGGTCGTGGGTTCCAATCCCGGCTGCGGCGGCTGCATTTCCGATGGAGGCGGAAATGTTGTAGGCCCGTGTGCTCAGATTTGGGTGCACGTTAAAGAACCCCAGGTGGTCTAAATTTCCGGAGCCCTCCACTACGGCGTCTCTCATGATCATATGGTGGTTTTGGGACGTTAAACCCCACATATCAATTATATTTTATAGAGAGACCACGAATTTGCATACCACGTCTGTGTTCCCTTGGCATGCATGCTCTTTCCGCGGGCGGTCCCATATTAAGCGTTTCGAATGATTTTGGCAGCCTTTGCACATTATTTGTGAAAACATTTTGAGGACTCTTGAGCGTCGTATTCAAGAGTGAAACGCCATAGTTTAATCGGGCCCCACCCGCGTCACCTTCTCCCCAGCTAGCCTGAGTTAGCATCTCGCTGGACATCCCAGACATATTCCAGACACATCCTAGACACATCCCAGACACATCCCAGACACATCCAGCAAGGAAAAGAACGTCCGTGCGCGTAACGCAGGCCTTTTCAAACTGTACTGGAATGTGTACTGGTGCTGCAGCTGCAAATAGCCTAATTCAACGAGACTATTTCCTTTTGTGAACTCGCAAAGTACCTGCTTGGTTGATGGTGTTGCGATGACGACAAATAAATATACCAGTACGCTTTGTGAAAGGTACTGGCCTTCAGTCCAGCCACTCGTCGCGCCACTAATATTTTTTGACGCCTGTTGATATTCTGCACTTTCTCCCACGCCATAATATATGTATAATGAAACCATTGGCACTGCTCAATTTTTATATAGGGTTCTTTTTGCTAGCGAACTTTGAGGCACCGGTTACACTTTACTGCTGCATTTTTTGTGTGAAAGACAACGCCGACATTTTTTTACGCTCAAAACCAACGACGTCGACGCCAACGCCGCCGACAACCGAATATTGTACGAAACGAGCTCATTAACGCTATTCTGTTGGTAATTTTATCAGCACAGTCTTTTCTAAGATTAAAGAAGAGGCAGACTCACCTGACGCCCTGCGGCAACCGGTACATCCATAACCTATCAAGGAGAATACACGCATGCAAATTAATACAGTTTTTCACGCATGAACTACAGCATTTTTGCAAACACTTTTTTATTTATTTAGAGATACTGCAGGCCAATACTTTGGCCCAAGCAAGAGGGGCACTACAACAAGAGAGAAAACAAAACGAAAAAAATATTCATGCGAACACAATGCAATACGAAATGGACATAATGTATCAAAAAGAAGCAGCAATCACCCCTAGACTTCCGCGAAAAATTCACAAGAAACAATGGTGTGTGAAAGCATCAATGAAATCCTTCTACTCATGAACTTCAAAAGGGGGGAATAGCAGTCGCTCACTGTTCTGAAAAAAAAAAAAACATTCTTGTGGGCATTTGTTCTCGCGAAAATTGGCGCACGTAAACGTTCGTGGGCGTGTCTTGATGATTTGTGGAGTAATGCAACCGAAAAGAGCAATGCAATACTATTTTTCGCAGCAAGGGTGTTGTGTAGTAGTACGAGAAGATTAAATTTCCTGCACGTTTGTAGTGTCTGCATTCGGTTTTATGACGTCATCGATGACGGAGAATAATGCCTGGCATATTTTCCGCATATAAATCTCACAGCTTTTCTTTAAACTCCCTCAAGTTTCAGAATGTCAGCCTCAGTATGCGTATCCCAAACTTCAGCAAAATATTACAATTTAGATATTACGACTGCATTATAAGCTAGTATTTTAGATCTTACTGGCGCATATTTAAAATTTCTCCTTACAAACTACAGTTAACTTAAGGCGGTTGAGCAGATATCCTAGGTATAAGTTGTCCATGTCAGTTTATTGGTAAGTGTGACGCCTAGGTACTGGTATTTTTCGACTTCGGTTACTGTTCTGTTTTGAAGTTGATAATGATTCACTAGTATCTTCTTTTTCTTGGTACACGCGAAAGTACGATTTTTTTTCCACATTTAGCGGCATACCCCAATTTGTGCACCACTCACAAGTTGTGACAAGGCATCTCTGCAAGTCTTCATGATCATCAATCAGCATATGAATTATACAGGTAATATCTGAGAATCGGACAGATGTTCACGTGTAGGGATCAAAAGAATGACACCTTGATAATAGCAAGGACGTTTTCTTCTAGGTTATTCGGCTAACGCTGCAAATAAATATAAAAATAGACGTACGTAGCTCTTACGCAAATACACGCGCAAGCTCTCGTTCATCATCTCGTAGTTCTCGCTTCTACATAGTCTGTTCTCCGATGGAGGCCGAAATGTTGTAGGCCGGTGTGCTCAGATTTGGGTGCACGTTAAAGATATTACTAGTGGTTCAGCAGTAGCAGTTCTTTGCATTTCAATAGGTGCCTAAGGTCACAGATTCATACAGGCTAAAGTTAGTTTATGGCTTTACATGCTGCTCACGCACTACGCAATGAATGCCTAACTATATTGGACAATTTACATAAGCATCATCTTAGGTTTACGAAATACAGATTTGGGTGCACGTTAAAGAATCCCAGGTGGTCGAAATTTCCGGAACCCTCCACTACGGCGTCTCTCATAATCATATGGTGGTTTGGGGACGTTAAACCCCACATATCATCATCATTACATAGTCTGTTCGTGGGCTACTCTGTGGCCTTTACCACAGCTTCCTAGATTTCCCTTGCCTGCCAGATTATCGGCGGTAACTTGGGAAGCGGCTGTCGCCAGAACTGCGGTAGTGGAGCCACTTAGGTAGGGCTGTCTTCAAATGGGTTTTTACGTTTTTGAAACTTATATGCAACAAAATAACGTAAAAAGTTTTAAAAGGCGTAAACGTAATTATAATTATTTAAAGATAACACTACGTAAGTGACGCCGCCATAGATGAAGGGCATGTCGCGCTCATTCAGCAGGCAACCCATTCAGTACAAGGCATAGCCTCTGAAATTAGCAAACGACAAAATTGTTGATCTGAATGGCCAAGTACGAAAACCCTCAAACCTACGTAGGTGGCGCCGCCATAAATGATGGGCGTTTCGTGCTCATCCGGCAGGGAAGGAAAATATAGGAGGCTATGTCTTTATATAGCGTTGGAGCCAAAGTATTGTTATTTGTTTTACCACCTCCATGGCTTATACGTGACTGATCTGACTGTATTTCGTAAACCTAGGATGATGCTTATGTAAATTGTCCAATATTGTTAGGCATTCATTGCGTAGTGCGTGAGCAGCGTGTAAAGCCAGAGACTAGCTTTAGCGTGTGTAAATCTGTGACCTTAGGCACCTATTCAAATGCAAAGAACTGCTGAACTACAAGTAATATCTTTATTGTCGAGGTATTGAGCATTTAAGAATAATAATTGCCCCATATGAGCGCTATTCATTCGCTGAGAAATCACCACGACCACTAAAGCTGATGACAGCGAGCAGACGCTGATTAGCGCTGCTCCGCTTGTATGTTCCGTCCCTGATGGTATAAGGAATGAACAAGAACAGGAGGGATGGAGTGGGAACATCGTTCCAGGTCAATAAATCCAGTGGGTCATGGCTTATATGCGATACGGTGGTCTTGTACAATGTATACCGAGCTAACCAGTCAGTACTGCTGTCTTTTTTTGAGAATTTTTAACTTATGCTTATCAATACTTTCAACTTCAAAAAGCAGCCGCCAAGGTGCGCCATCTTCCTATGCAGGTGCATGCACGACGTCCTTTCTTTCTCAGGAAGCCAGCGTACCACATGTGCTATCGTGTTTTCGCTCCTTTGTTTTCTATTTATATTCAAGTGCTAAGAACACGTGAAAGTTAAAGCATAAAGCTCGCTTTGTTTCTTCTCCAACAGCTTGCTGTGCGGCTTATGCGATGTATTTCTTTTGTACAAAGCATTTAAAAGACAGGACAACGCTGTCATACGTTTTCCTCTGCTGTGTTTGCGGACAGGCGACGGGGCTAGTCGCAAATAAGATGAAAAAAAAGGGTAAAGTCTATTTTCACCTAATAAAGAAATATATCCTCTTACAATGAAATTACCCACAAAGAAGGTAAAACGAAGAACTTATCGAGTGGTGAGGTGAACACTGTTTAATCTTTATATGGCTGAAGTTTACTCTTTACGTTGACTCTAGTTGCCATATGCCACGCTATACTGATGCGTCGTTACCCTGTGACAGGAACTATAGACAACAGAAACACAGAAAATAAGCCAAAGAACTGTTCCTGGATAAAACGGCAATGTTTGTACGGGTGATGCTACCAAATATTTGTGCAATGTTCGCATATTCAAAATTTTTTGTACGAAATGGGCGGTATGACCACGAAAGTATAGATAACCAAGTGGTAGTCAAAATTTTGTATATAGAACAAAACGTACAATCGACCACGTTTTGGCAATATGGCGCACCAGGCGTTTTTTTTTTAATTCTGGTAAATTGTTTCCACAAAAGCCCAAAAATGGAGTAAGGTGTTTTAACATGAATTTTAATTTGTTCATTTGACTGTGTATTTCCCGAAAGTAACTTTTTCGCGCTATTAGGGGTTTTTCACCAGGTGGTACGATTTATTTTCAATAAATCATGCCATTATATTGTCGTTTCGCCGGTCGTAAAGTTTAGGGAGTAGTCGGAGGGTGAAACGAAGAAATCAAAGCTTTCTTAATTTTTCACTTGCTCACGAGACACTCACACTACGTCAGAATTTTGAAAATCGAACCGTTTCGGATGTGCAATGAGTGTAGTGTCACTACTGACCTAAAGATCATCGAATACTGGCCACGGTGGCTTCATTTAGAGCGGAAGCTATAGGATCATGTACTTATACTTGTGTGAACGTCAATGCAGCCCAGATGGTCGAAATTTCCACAGTGCTCCACGGCAGCGTCCTTTATATCACATCGTTGTTGTGGAGCGTAACACTGCGTCAGAACTTTGAAAATCGAACCGTTTCGGAAGTGCAGGGAGTGTGGTGTCACTACTGACGGGAAAGTCATCGAATACTGGCCACGGTGGCCCCATTTATTGCGGAGGCAAGATGCTCCTGTACTTTTACTTGGATGAACTTCAATGTAGCCTAGGTGGTCGAAACTTCCGCAGTGCTCCACGACAGTGTCCTTTATATCATATCGTTGTTGTGCAGCGTAAAACGCCGAGTTATTATTTTTACTATTAAAAATCTCCAGCTGTTAGCATACTCACCGGCTCGAACTAACGCCACGTGTAGAACGAGGGCAAACACGGCCACCCTGAGGAACGTCATTGTTCTTGTTACTTGCCAGAAGCGACGTCCACTGTGGTCGCCTTGGCAAGAAAGAGTAAAGTGGCCGCACCTCTTTATAAACCCGATGACCTTTATGGCCCGCTACGCAGCTTGAGTTAAGTGGAACCGGTAAGGAAATTTCGCGAAAAGCTCTATTGCACAAGTGCATTTTTTATATACACAATGCGCCTGACTTTTTAGAGTTTTCTAATGTTCTTTAACTCGAACAATAGTTTTAACTGGAACACATAGTCTTCCATTGTTTAGCACGAGCTAGCTCGTTCCCCGCACGTGGTGGATGACTAATCGAAGTTTTGGGTGTCGCGCCGTCGGCTTCATTGTTCCAAAATTTTACAGAGAGAAGACTACAGCCTAAAAACATATAGTATCGCTCTTCTTAGCGGCCCCAGCCATTTAAACCATCTGCCAAAGCAGGTTACCCAAAGCTACAATACTAAACATAGGCGATGAGGAAGAGAAACCAACCATATTAACCGAAACCAACAATGCTTGAACTATTTCTTGTTTAACTATTCCTTCAGTAATACAAACCAATGAAGCGTGCTCGAATGCATTTGATGTGCTTTAGGACGGAGAAAAGAACGCTGATACATTCATTCAACGGACATATTTGCTGTGTTTCGTACGAGTCCACAGAAACTACGAAATATGCTGAGGGAATTCGTACCAATAGGTGTTTGACATCGATGAAGTTTAACCACTAATTGTACGAATATTTGATGCTAAAACATAATATGTAGCTTAACGGCAGCAACGCAACGTCGGCACACAATGCTGTATCAGGTAGGACTGCAGAATTTCTAAGAACATTTACAGTTGTGTAGATTATGCTAGTGCTGCAGAAATGTGCGCTGACAAGAAAAAAATAAAACAAGTTTTATTTAGTTATTTTAAGCGAGACCGATGTTTGAACGGGCATAGAAAAGGAGGCTTGCAATGATGAAAACCCATAGCATGAAATTTCAGACGACCTAGCGTTATGACGAGAGGACGTACATAGTCAGTAAATTACCACTTCCCAATGCGAAAAGCAGCACTCCTGCAGAACGAAGATGCTTGGTTATCTAGAAAGTGTGCATTGATGTGTGTATGAGAAAGTGCGAATTCATGATGTGTGATGCGTGTAAGATGTGGGCATGTATGGTGTGTGTATTATCTTTGATGTGTAGAAAGTGCGATGCGTGCATGTGAAAGTGTGTCTTGTATGCAGCTCAGTAAGGCGCCATGTGTAGAAGGTACCTCACACATCAGAACAGAGCCTGAGGTTTTCTGTCACCTCATGGACTTCGTGAACTGCTTGAAGTTGTTTTTGTAGCAGGTCCAGAGCCATGGGCGGGTTAGGGGGGGGGGGAGGTGAGCGTTAGAAAATTTTGGTAAGGGAATCACGCCCTTTTATGTGTAAGAGTAAATCAATGAAGGCAGGAGCAACTTTACAAGCGAAGCTCTTTATGGTCTAAGGCCGTCTATCCCTCTGGCGTAGCCAGCACAGCGCATTCACACATACATACATACATACATACATACATACATACATACATACATACATACATACATACATACATGCATGCATGCATGCATACATACATACATACATACATACATACTACATACATACATACATACATACATACATACATACATACATACATACATACATACATACATACATACATACATACATACATACATACATACATACATACATACATACATACATACATACATACATAATTTGGCGATAATTTCACTATTAATCACACTTCAATAAGTTTGCTTGAAGTAAAAGAGCGTGAAATTTCGAAGAAAATGATGTATGGATTATTTGAATATTCATTCTAGTCATTCAGAAAACGGTACTTCGCTATTACCAGAAATGTTAAAAAACACGAGGCGTCACAAAGCGTGAATTGCACCAAGAATGGCTGATATCAAGCGGTCACACCTAACAAAGCGCTGAGGCATAAATGATGACAATGGTCAGTGAAAGCATCTACACGATGTTCTGCTGCGAAGCTGCACGTGACACCTTATGAATGCGTAGTGGGTGATTCGCCAATTCTCAAAAGAAAAAAATATGACGTTGTGGGAACTTCGCAAGTGCACTTGAAATACGCATTTTAGCATACTTTCCAGCAGGTAATGCTACGCGCACTGACGTACCTTTTTCTCTTTTTTTGTGGCATGATTGAGAGAAACAGTGTGTGTGTGTGTGTGGTGTGTGTGTGTGTGTGTGTGTGTGTGTGTGTGTGTGTGTGTGTTTTAGTTATCGTTCATTGATTTCTATATGTATACTTCACCGTCTGAAGATATCACTGTGCTGTCCAGTTATCAGGGTTATGTTACGAAAGAGGCAAATATATTTATTGTAAAGAGAAAATGCTACAGTGCAAGCTTTCGGCTGTTACATCTAAGTTGGTGCTTTGTGGTATTCAGAGATGATTGTCACTGTCCTTCTAGCAGAGTTGGCCCTTTGAATTACCAGCTGCATTAGGTACACATGCAGTAACCAATTTTATAAGTAATTACTTTACCGAGGTTGGTAAATACTACTAACTTTTACAAGAGGGAAAGTCATTCTAGGTACGTCACATGAGCGTACTAGTGTTTAGTAGGCACATGTGACGCAGCAGTATTTCTTTTAAATCAGACACATTCGTTTCTTGGTTCCACAACTTATGTTCCATCTTGTGTTTCAATTCTTGCGTTTATAAGTGTCAGACATGTTGGCGTGAGCTACTTTATTTTTTGCAGCCACACGTTAGCGCTATTGTGTGACCTTCGCCCGATGGAATCGCATTTGCTAGAGCATAATTGTTCTTAGAGCCGGGCTTGTATAAAGGTATTGACATGACAATACGTATTCATACCTATGTCATTAAAATAATTTGAATATACTTCCCCAAATTTTCATATTCGTTTATACCAAATACCCTGACATTAGATAGACTCGCGGGCGCTGTTTTAGAGATCAGCACGTGTGGGTTCGACAACGTGTTGCCACGCGTTGTGTGTATGCGAGTGTGTTGAATTGCCTTCTCTTTCAGACGAGAAAGTGTATTTTTGAAGCATACTGTGAAGAGGTGCTTGTACACGCTAAACCGATGGACTAAAACGCAAATTTTCAGTTATTAAATACAAGAGTCTTTCTTTCTGAAAATTCGTGCCCATCAAAAAAATTACGGCATATTCACGGGGTGAATGATGATGAATGGGCAAAGCTCCGGAGGAATTCATCGGTAAACTGTCAATCTTCCGTGTAATTCGTCCAGTCGATCATCATGTAAAGACGTGAGAAACGCTGTGTGTGTATATACACAAATCAACTTTTATTTGTTCTTAGACGATGGATGGCTTGCAATGCCCCTTCATTATGACGGCTTTATGGTCTGTGAAGTGACATCATTCCTATTTTATAGGATCTCACGTCTTTCATAAACTACAAGTACCGCTTTCTAGTTTATAACATATTGCATCTTTTCATCATCAGCTACAAGTACCACCATCTAGTAAACACTACAAGAACTAAGCGAGAGGTGGCTACATACAGGAGACGGTACCGCCATCTAGTGAACACTGCAAGAACTAAACTAGAGGTGGCTACATACAGGGGACGGTACCGCCATCTAGTGAACACTGCAAGAACTAAACTAGAGGTGGCTACATACAGGCTACAGGGGACGCACAGCCCACGCCCTAAAGAGCTTCGCCCCTAAAAGAAAACGAGAGCACTACGCACTTACTTTGAGAAGCACAGGCCCCCGCCGCCGATATTTCGATCATTAGCGATATCCAATGCAATTGACACACACCTCGGCATTCCATATCTGTGCCTTGTGCTCGGGTTAGGTTCAGAATAAGCTTTGCTAGCCACGTCGTGCGCGCGATATTATTTGAGCAGTCTAAAGCAGTCGTGAAGTTTTGCGATCAGGTGTGGCTTGCGCCATGCGTGGTAACATGAGAAATAATTTTCGTATAAGCATGCTCACACAGAAATAACCGAAATTACAACTCTAAAAATTGAGGCGCACACCGTAGACTTTGTTCATGCGACACGCGGCTTTTTCCGACTATCCGTCTCCCCCCTCCACCCTTACAGCACATGATTGTAGGTCAACGGATTGTGATGCTCAATGTCCGACGCTCTCGATGAAGCGGTGCGCACAGTTGCAGTTATCGCGAACTTGGCGTGACCGCAAAGAAACAGTGACAAGACCCAAAGGAAACACCATGCAGGGCTCAGACTGCGCATTCCCGTTTCCATAACAACGCGGCAGCTTTAAAGAGCTCGTTTCACAGGAATTACGCTGTTTGACACTGGCGTCGTTGGTAGTGAGGGAAAATTTCATGTAAATATCAATAATAAATACTAAAATTCGATCGCCTTTAAAATTTAACCCAGGACTTTTTAGTGGCATGTAGAAATTCTTCCATTGAGGTCTAGTCAATGAAACTGTTTAGGGGGAAATAATCCTACGTGAATATTTTGTATTACGAGGTGAACACGCATAATAATGCGTGGTTATAGAGCCGCGCCACCAGTCCAAACATGTGGATTGCGTGACGACTTGGTGGTGTCAAAGCCCGCTCATTACAAAGTGCTCCGGTATAATGAATGATCATGATTAGTAGCGACCGCATGAATGACGAGGACAACTGCGTGGTGCGTATGTTGCTTTACGGGCGATTAATGCGTACTTTGGCAATTTGAAGAAGAAGAATTGATCATGGCGCAGTGGAAACTTCGAAGCAGTCCTTGCAGCATTATTGCCAAACGTAGGGTAATTGCTCATTCTGTAGTGTACTTCCGAAAATTTCTGGGGAACATGGGGTATTATGGCGTTCACGATTTTCGTATCGACCGTTGGGAAATTTCTATTTGTAACTTGTCATGGAACAGTGAATAAATTCAGACGATTGACGCAACATCTGGAAGGGGGACATTGATAAAAGAGATCCCTGAACTAAACATTTTTTTCATT